TTTAAAATATTTTTAATACTTACGTCCTATTGTTGAATAAAAATTTCAAGAACACTTACCTGAAACAAAAAGAAACAATTAAAAAGGTAATAATGGTAACAAATGTAACAAATATATTTTTAAATATTCATATTTAACTACCGGTTAACGCTATAACTAGTGATAGAGGGTAGATACTCTTTTACTTTCGCGGTAGACGATAGATCTACTTCAGGATGCAACCCTGTCCACGTAAGTCATAATTATCACCCAATCTCCTTATACCTCAGTATGTTATAGAATAATTATGTCTATGACAGGAATTATCTCATAGAATTATTCTTACACCTGATTACCAAAGTTTCTCTTTCCATATCCTACTCTAATATCGAGCAGCAGCAATATCAGTATCAAGATAGAGTGTAAGGAAGATTGTGCTGGATCGGTCTACTATTGGATAATATAAATTTTAATGGCATTTAGACTGCCATGGAGAAAGCATCGCAAAGCTACGCCATTGCTCATCTCTAGTATAATGATCACGATAATTAAATTTTTTGCAGTAGAACTTCAAGTGTCAACATAAAAAGGTGCATGCTTAGATGTTACATATGTAGTATACTTTTATATGGCGTAGGGGCAGCTACTATAACTAAAGCGATAATCAGAAAAGTGCTAGTATTCGAGGTGTGACTTAACAGAATATTCATTCAGAATAGAATCCTGAGAATATCTTACATAGACAGAGTCCCGAATGAAGAAGTCTTGCAAGACTTTCAAAATAAAATGTACTAAGTAATCAAATATATCTAAAAACTGCAATATATAACTAATGATTATGTTAAAAAATAAGGCTTAAATGGGCTTTCTCCCTCTAATTGCGCCTGAATTTTGCTGAGAATGTCAATTTTAAGAACCCACAACAGATGCAAATAAGTTTGCCACTCCTATCCCCGGGCTTCTCCCTAAAACCGTCCCTCTTAGAAAGGAGCGGAAACAGAAAAATAGACCTACAAAGAATTCATAGATATATTTAACAAAATATATATATATATATATATATAATATATATATATATATATATATATATATATATATATATATATATTATATATTTAAGGAAGATAGATTTAACAAAATATATAATATATATATATATATATATATATATATATATATATATATATATTTAAGGAAGATAGATTTAACAAAATATACGAAACATGCATAATACCAAATTATTGGCTGACATCGATGTTTATACCACTACCAAAGAAGAAAAACTCCAAAAAATGTGAAGACCATAGGATTTTAAGCCTGATGAATCATATATTGAAACTTTTCCTACGAGTAATACACAATAGAGTATACAATAAACTAGACGAACACACTGGTCAAACTCAGTTTTGGTTTTAAGAATGGGTTCGGAACAAGAGAAGCACTTTTTTAATACGTGTGCTAGTTGAAAGATGTAGAGATGTCGATTCTGATGTATAATTGTGTTTTATAGACTTTCAGAAGGCGTTTGACCTGGTGAAACATGATAAACTAATAGATATTTTAAGGTCATGTAATATCGACGATAAATACTTAAGGATCATTTCAAACCTCTACCAAGAACAAAAGGCTAAAATCAAAATAAAAAGCAAAACATCTGGAAAAATCAATATCGAGAAGGAAGTAAGACAGGGATGTGTCCTATCACCTTTGCTGTTCAATGTTTACTCTGAGAAAATATTTCAGAAAGCTTTGGAAGGCACCTCGGATGGTATAATTATAAACAGGCAATGTATAAATAACCTGCGATATGCTGATGACACTGTCATACTGGCAAATAATGTTGAAGCCCTGCAACGCTTAATGGACCGAGTAACGACAGCCTGTAGAGAATTTGGAATGAAATTGAATACAAAGAAAACAAAAACTATGGTCATCAGCAAGCACCAAAACAGAAGGGTGAAAGTCAATGTCGACAGAACAGATCTGGAAAGAGTAACAAGAACAACGTACCTTGGAAGTAATCCTGATGAAACTTGGGACCACTCACTAGAGATAAGAATACGCCTGGGAAAGGCACGTAAAATGTTTTACAAAATGCAAAAAGTTCTATGCAACCGCCAGCTGGGCATCGCATTGAGAACTAGAATACTTAAGTGCTATGTTTTCTCCACCTTGCTCTATGGTGTTAAAGCCTGGACAATGACAGAAGCAACACAAAAAAAAACCAAGCATTCGAACTCTGGTGTTACCGTAAAATGCTCAGAATATCCTACATGAGCCATACGACAAATGAGGAAGTCTTGCGGAGAATGAATAAGGAAAGAGAGCTTATGCTTATAATAAAAGAACGGAAAACACAATATTTTGGTCACATCATAAGAAATCAAAAGTATGAACTGCTCCAACTTATAATCGAAGGCAAAGTCAATAGCAAAAGAGGACCAGGAAGAAGACGCAACTCTTGGCTTAAAAACCTACGGCAATGGACGAACATGACCTCTATAGAACTATTCAGGGATGCTACAAATAAGATTAAATGGGCAAATGTAATGGCCAACGTCCTTAAGGATAAGGCACCGTAAGAAGAAGACAAAGAATTTGTAGGAAGTAAAAAAATGGTTCAAACAGGAAATGCAGCTGAGATACTCTTAAACAAAAATGTTTAAATTTTGTATCAACTCGACGGTAAAAATTCGATAGCTTTAGATCAGAGTATTTTAACAACAAAAATTAAAATTGCTTTTAAAGTTGAAGAGTGCAGCTTTTATACACAATTTTTTCACTCAATATTTGTGATAAATACAAAAATCGTTAAGCGTAGAAATTTTTGAAGAACCCTGTCTTGCTTAAAATTTGTCCTAGAAACCTTCTACTGTAGACCATTGAAAAGGTAATTATATAATTATGTCACTCACGCCAAAAATGGTGTGAGTGGTTAACTTTGAAAAATCGTATCTTGGATACTGTAAACTCCCAAGACGTCTACCAAATATCACTTTGAAGAGGAAGGAAAAACGTTTTCTTTCTGTAACGCAATGCCTATACATATACCCTCGTGGAAAAAAGTTATGGGGCATAAAAGAAATTCGCGTTTATTCCTGTTTTTTTTGCTTCGTTTTTTGAATATAGTTTTGTCAAAAAAAAAAAATTTAACTTTAAAAGATGACATTTCGATAGGAAATTTAATTGAAACCAGTCTGTAGATGTATATGTCTGAAAAATGCATAGAATTCACCCAAATGTATAGGAATGGTAGCTTGTCTATGTGATAAAAAAATAATAGATTCTGCAAAATATCATGAAAAGAACGATTTTACGAAAGCGTAGCGTTGGAAGGAGACGAATGTCATGGCTGCGCAATCTCGTACATCAGTTGTAACGATCCAAAAAACTTCTTTCATATCCAAATTTTTTTCATCCTCATCATCATGCAACCTCTTCTGTCCACTGCTAGATATAGGTCTCTTCCATTTTTTGCCACTCTTCACGGTTCTGTGCGTCTTGTTGCTATTTCTTGGATTTTTGTTTAATGTCGTACATCCAGTGTGTAAGTTCTACGGGTAGCATGTAGAAACTTCCTTAAAGTCTCACGGATTCTATTGGATAGTCCTATCAGCGAAAGTGAATTAATTCCTGTGTCCGCAGATTCCAGGTGCTTCTTGACCCGGGAAGCTAGCACCTGTTAGGGTTCCTATGTCCAGGGTCACGAATGAAGACCAGAACGACATCCAAGGCGTCAAAGAATATTTTCGGTACGCCGAAGATGGCGGAGTTGGCGACCCCAAATTTTAGGGATAATATAAGCTCACAAACCTAGAAGCGTCTGACCCGGAGCGGGCGATTTCAAAGAGCATCGATACTCACAATGAGCGGCTGAATTAAAAACTCATCTACCCGACATGCCTCCCAACAAAATGTCAGATTTTAAAACAAAAACGGATGTACCCCAGGTGAGTATAGCGAGAAATCGAAAGTGTCACTGATTGGGGGAGGGGCGGCACTTTTAAATTAAGAACGCAATAACTTTTATGCGACCCTGCATTATTTATGGCGATTTTAAAAAATGTGTTTTGGTTAAAGTGGATCGAACGATTTAAACTACGGCGCAACTTCGGCAGAAATGTAGGCAAAAAATTCAAAAAACACAGTTCACTCCATTTCTATCGCATACGTTGTGATATTTGTGAAAATTTCTATCAGGTAAGCCATTGTAACTGTTCTATGAGCTATATTCTACCGGTGTTAATGTAAATAGGGTGTTAACAATTTCTTCATCAACTTCTTTTCAGAAGGAAAAAATAGATACCTTTCGTCCCAAATATTTTGCCTTGTTTGTCTTCGTTGATTTTTCTTTCTAATAGCTATGTGATATATGATTATACTCCATATGAAACTTTTAGAGCATTTCTGAACCCGTTTTGCATAACAATAGATTACTTTTGGACTGGAACACGTAACTATATGTAATATTGTTATATCATACATTATGATTTCTGTTATCCAACGCCTAGAAGCCATACGAAGAAAAATTTCACAAATAAATGATACTCCTTAATTTGTGTTATTAATTCACAAATTGTTTACTTTTCTATTTCAAAAACATTAATATGTACTAAACTTTGAAATGTAAACAGAAAAATGTTTTAAAAAATAACTTAATTAACATAATAAGGATGCATAATGCATATTTAACTATAATCTAGAAAAAATAACTTTCAAAAACTTGAGGCTTTTCAATGACGAAATAAACAAAACACAAAGGTAGAAAAAGCAGTTCCGGTTTATACACAATTTTTGAAAAAAACGTGGATGCCAATATTAAAAGTATTTATAAAAATAATAAGAATAAGCTTAAATAAAAATAACAAATGTGAGAAAACTGTTAACCGATACAAAGTAGTGAAATATCATATTTGAAAAGTAAAAAGCAAAAAAAAGCAAATAGGACTGACTATTTTAACACAGCTTTAGAATAGATAAATGGGTATAATATATAAATATAATTCTTAAATGTTACTTACTCAAGTCCCTGCTCTGAAAATACTTCGCTTATATCAGAATCGCTGCGGGGCAACAGTAGTTTAGGCAATACTCCAGCTTTCTTTCTGCGTGACTTCAAGGTACCTGTAGTAAAGTAGTCCGGCATCTTATGGGGAGAATGTGGTGACAGAATTGTAAGTCTGCGATCACCTGGACTAAGACTTAAATAACCTGTAGGCGGTGGTAAGCTAAGATGTTGAGGTATTCTCATTTTACCAGACCATAATACTCGTTTTCTTTCTGCTGTAAAAGTGTCTTCGCTGCCAGTCGTTTCTAGAGAAGCTTCACCACTAACTGCGTGTCTTTTTAGTTTCATTTCTCGTTCGATGCTTTCCAAAGATTTCGTTTCTGTAGTTTCTAGATATATTCTTCTAACATCGCGTTCACTGGATGATAGAAAACCTTTGGGAGAGGCTCGTAAGCTTTCCATGCTTTTAGTAGTACAGGTTCTCATTGAAGCGGACAAATATTGACCTTTATATTTGGTATCTGGCTCATAATCTTCTTGGGATGAGCTAGAATGTGGACTCTTAGATAATAATGAGTAACGAGGCGATGCTTTCGTTGATATCGACTCAGATTCAGACTCGTTCGAATCGCCGCTAGCTTGTTGCGTTATGATGTGGCATTGTGGTATTTTTTGTTCTTTTTGTTCTGGTTTCGGGTCGGACAGAGAATGGACGTTTTGTGGTGTTAGCGTAACTGTGGATGGAGCTTTTGATAAAGAGGAGGTGTCCTCGTCATCCTCCTCCATTTTGGGTTGGCGGTTGAGTTTGTATGTAGTACGGATGGTGATTTATTGTCACAAAACACTTATATATACCATGGTTCTTGTGCTAGTCTATCATAAGACTAACTGCATTAAATATAGTTCACTTTGTTTTATCTTTAGGCCATATCTAAATAAGAAGAAGTGTGTGATGAAGTTTTTTTATTGACTCATAAACTATTTTTTACATAATAAAAGTATTACCATTTACCACTATAGTGAAATTGTATATATACTAGCAGAGTCCTATTTTGATATTATTATGTAATATACTATATTATATTACCATTATTTATATACAATACTCTGTTTGTGAATCTTGGAAACATCCACTCTTAGTCTATATATCACTAGAATATGCAAAACGTCTTCTCAAAATGCCGTTTTGATCTGTTCACTACTTAGTAGATGTTTCCAAACGATATGATGTTAATGTTATCGTTAAGTTAAGATATATTTTAATTTAAAGTTGATATTTGTATTTGACCGCAAGGTCCTGCGGAAATTATTTTTATACATTTTGATTATAATCTATATTTCTCTAATCATTAAACACTATTTTACACTGTGAGAAAAAAAGTAACTTAGATATAAAAATAATAAGATGTACAAACTAAAGTTCTCAGAAGCGCCTAAATATACGTATCCTTGAAACAAGTGAATTGAGATGCCAATGTCTCGTAAAGTAACTGTAAACGATCATGTTATATAGTATTCAGGAGAAGATAATTTAAACACATAAAAATGGTGTAGCCATAATTGTGACGAATGAAATAGATAAAGCGTAAAAAACTTGTCATATTCTCAGACAGGATACTACTATTATAAATGCAAAAAACAACAATAAATTTGAATATATTACAAGCATATAGGTATGCACCCGCACAAGATTTCGAAAAAAAAAGAAATTAAAAAATTCTAAATCATGATTTAGAAAATGAAAAGCATCTACAAAGAAACACAAGCTCCATATTGTCATGGGGAATTTTAATGTCAGATTGCCGAAGGAGTACAGAAAGAGTTTAAAATACAAAAAATTAATAAACTGTTAAAATAATGGAAAAACTTAATTTCTAAATTATTTGAAGATGAAAGAGTAGAACATTATGCACCAGTTGCTATAACAGGTCCACCTATATTAGAAAGTAAGATTAAATGGGCAATACAATAGTTCAAAAATGAAAAAGCAATAGGTCACAATGAAAAAACTGCTGAAATATTAAAATTTTTGGGTGAAAATGAAATTTAAGCACTGTGTGGTCTCTTTAACAGAATTTATGACTCTCGGATATTATCAACTGGTCTGACACGCTTAAGTTGACATTTGTTACAATACCAAAAAAACATCGTGCAAAGACATGCAGTGATTATCGGACAATACACAAAGTATATAAGAATATGATTCACGTTTTAAAGATCTTCCTTCAGCTAGATATTCACGATCGCAGCGTTGACCTTCGCGTTAGAATGACATATTGCTGTCTTTCCAGTGCTACGTTATGAAGTGGAGGCGTGTACTCTAAGTGACGCTATGCTTAAATGGGGAGGTTCATAGACGGCTGAACCAAACAACACAAATGGTCAATGTAATAAAGAAACGCATCCTGGGATACTTTGGTTACATGGAACTAGAAAAAGGAGATACATAAGATCAAAATCAGTATGTTACTTTTAACCAGTATGACTCTCAAAAACAATCTCTGATGTATAATTTCTCTCAATACCCGATTTTGTTTCCCATATTATTTCTCATTTATATTAATGCCTCAGTATACTCTTAAAATAAGGAAGTTAAAACTGTTTTCTATGTAAGCTACCGCCATTCTGAATTTGACACATTTGAGTACCAAACATCTAAAAAAAAACTAACGTATTAAATTGGTTTTAAATTGCTAGTCTCTTTTTAAACACTTCTAAATCATAAATTGTTAATTTTACTTTAAGATATAACACTGATATTGGACATACTGCTTTACTACGATGTGCAACAGAGGCGAAGTTTCTGAGGGTACACTTGGATCAGGATTAACGTGGGAATAAAATATAGTTAATTTATTGAAAAAGCTTTCCCTACAACTTTCCTTTTTAGAAATATTAGACAGGTGACTTCCAACCAAACTATTTTAACAACTTATCATATAACTTTCATTCTCATCTAACTTATATTATTCTCTCCTAGGATCATTCTTGTCAGTGTTTGGATATCAAAGAAACTGTGTTCGTATTATCTCTGGGCTCGGTTAAAGAGCAGACTGTAGACTTCTATAGAGAATTTTAACTTAATCTCTCTTTAATCCTGACCCCCAGGGGGAGTGTAGTGGTCGACGTGATGTCCTGTATTGTCCGTCTCCAGAGATCTCTGTCTCTGGTCATTTCTTTTAATTCATGCATAGGTCTTTGGCATATTCCTGTAATTTAATCTATCCATCTTGTTGGAGATCTTCCTCGTGATCTTCGGCCTTCTACCTTTCCTTGTATTATGAGTCTTTCCATGTTTTCTGTGTTTGCTCTCATAACATGCCGAAAATATTTTAATTGTTGGAGATGGACTTTACTAGAGAGTCGTTGGCTAACTTTTAGCTCTCTTAAAATTGAATTATTTGTTCTACGGTCGGTCCAAGGAATTCGTAACATTCGTCTCCAGCAGAACATTTCAGTGGCGTCTATCTTTCTTCTCTCCGATTGTCTCAGAGTCCAAGATTCACATCCGTAGGTCAGTATTGGAAATATTAAGCAGTTGATCAACCTCATCTTTATCGCTCTTGAAATTTAACATTCCTTCCATATTTTGGTCATTTTTGCTGTGGCAACTTTTGCTAGATCACATCTACGTTTAATCTCCTCTTGTAATGACCCTGTGTTTGTGATTAATGATCCCAGATATAAGTATGAGCTCACAACCTCGAACCGGTCAATTGTGGTTATGTGTGGATGATTGTTGTGTAGTCTATCCACTATCATCATCTTTGTCTTTGATATGTTTAATTGCAGACCAAATATTTGACTTTCTTTTTCGATCAGTCGTATAAGTTCCATCAGCTCTGCTTGAATATTTGCAACAAGGGCTGTGTCATCTGCGAAACGTAGGTTGTTTAGTTTATGACCATTTATTGAGATGCCCTTTTCCCATCCTTCAAGTGCTCTTCGCATAATATACTCTCCATATATATTGAATAATTGTGGAGATAGTATACATCCTTGTCTGACACCCCGTTTTGGATGAAACTCGTTCGACAGTGTGTCAAGTACTTTAACTGATCCAGTAGTGTGTTCATATAGTTCAGTTATAAGCGTAATTAGATGTTGTGGTACGCCTACTTCTTTTAGTATTCGCCATAAGTGTCTTTACTTGACCCTGTCGAACGCTTTACGGTAATCTATAAAACAGATGTATAGTGGGATGTTGAATTCCCTAGATTTCTCGATTATCTGTCTTAAATTCAGCAGGTGTTCTCGAGTGCCTCTACCTTTGGTAAATCCAGTTTGCTTTTGTGGAATTTCTCATTCTATCATTCCTAACTTAATATAGGATGTATATTATGCAGTGTTTGTTGTACAATAACAATAGTACTCTTGCACAGAATTTTCCTTCTTGAGAGATCTTAGCCATTAAGTTTTATAACTTAGTTCCAGCTAGAATAAAAGCTCTTAAGTTTTATCAAGTTAAGCAAAAATCAAGAGATAAATTATGGTAAATAACATATTTTTCTTTAAGGAGTATTTCTCTTCCAATTTTAATCTTTTCTGATGTCTGTTACCTTTGTTAATATACTTAGTTTAATTTTTTATATTTATATTTATATTTGACTAAAAGTACTTTTCTGTTATCATTACCGATATATTATCTATTTATCTGTCTATCTAGTTATAAATTATTCATTCATTCATATATATATATATATATATATATATATATATATATATATATATATATATATATATATATATATATATATATATATATATGTTTAATAGAACTTATATATGTAGAAATTAATAATTTTCCCCATTTTCTTATTACATTTGTTCATTCATAATATCATCAATTTGTAAAAAAAACATCCCGACTTCAATCTTCGTAACATAAAACTACGTAGACAAATTCGACATTCATCCCTTACATTGATCTCCGAAAACACCTGGGAAGTGAAAGCATTCAAGGAAAGCATACAAGATGATAGAGATTCCACAGATCCTCGAAAAAAATTCCTAAAACAAGGACAAATTGAATTGGCGCAGATGTTAGAAAGCAATTGAGTCCTAAATGTTGACACGCCATTTTATTCAGTTAAACAATAAAATCAATCTTTGATGGCACACAAGCGTACTTCGAGGTGTTTTTAATGTTTTTGTAGCTAATATTTTGATTCTATATACAGTTAAAAACATTATTGTACCGATTAGGGAAATATACGAAACATAGAAAAATAGTTTATTTATTAAAAACATAAAAATGTTACTAAATAAAATTAATTAATTAATTAAATAATTAATATTTTTTTTCCATAACTAATGTTAAAGTGTTGCTATAACAACTGTTTTGAGTAGATAAAGTATCACTTTAACCGCAAGGTTAACCCCCTCTGTGGCTCAGTGGTAAGAGCGCCTGCCTTTAAACCTAAAGGTCGTGAGTTCGAATCCCACCTGGGTGGAAATTTTCGTTTATTAAAAAAAATTAATAAATGAAAATAATTTCTATCCTAGTGTGATCGGTACACACCGGAGGGACCGCAGACGTTCGGATACAATTAGCGTCCTCTTACCAAAGACAATGACGTCGACTTTGCTAAGTAACAAGACAATTTTATTACTCTACACATACACACACACACACACACACTACACCTCAAATTGTAAGATTGGCGAATGGATTTAGTGTCCGCAGTCATTTAAACACAAACAAACAACAACAACCGCAAGGTTCTTTAGTGAGTTCAAAAAACGTGATTATTTTAACTCATTTTTAGCAAGATGTACACGTATTT